ATACAAGTCGGTTTTCGCTGTATAAATGGAAAATGATAAATAATGACAGATGAAAGCATTTTGATTTTTGAAATCATGTCGGTTCAATAGCATTTTATATCTTATAAGTCTGCAATGGTTCCCAGAAATGTTTTGTATATATTAATTTAGATTTTATACCAGTGTATATATTAATTTAAATCAGTGTGACTTCTTCTTGAAGAAATAACTTCGACTACTCAAACTAAAAAAAAAGAGTTTTAACCCTAGAAGCCACAAATTAAAGAACAAAAAACTTAGAATTATTATATCAGCTTTAAAATAATTAAGTATAATTGGTCGCTAGTATGAGAGTATTTTCTATTTCAGGAAATTTTGCGAGTAAACAAAGGACACATCTAAGTAGCAATTCGATAGACGTTCTCAGTTTTTTTAATTAATTCTCAGTTTAAAATTAATTAATTAAAATTTCTCGGAATAGACAATACCCGAGTTTAGCTTAATTGTTTTTAAAACTAAAATTGATATTAACAAGTATGTATCAACATGTATCTAATATTTTTTTTTACTTTATTTTTTAATTTAATGATTTTTTTTATTTATAAATGTATTATTTTTATTTATTCGAAAACTTTCCTTTCACTATCATAACAATATTTTTATTCTTGCATGAATAACGAATAATTATTTCAAAGTTATTTAATCAAGATAAACTATTATTTTTAGTTCTACTAATTAAAATTAAAATAATTTTGTTTACTATCTATAAAGTTGAACAATAAATAAATACAGTCAAATTCTGCTCTAAATTACACTAAATTTGCGGATAAATTACAGAATATTCGAGCAAAAATTTATTTTCTATATAAAATTCGAAAAACCGTTTAAAACCGTTTTTTTTAGTGAAATTAAAATTCGAAAAACGGTTTTCTGAAATGTCGGTTTTGTATAAACCCTAATCGTAACTCTCTAAAGTTATATTTTTACATTCTACACGCTTATGTTTTATTCGAAATTAAATTTAGTTGCAAGAAAGTTTTCATGATTATTTTAGCATTTGTTATTGTAAAATAAGATAAAAATTTGTAAGATTCTATTAATATTTGGGCAGGTTGGGCCCCCATGGCCCGGAAAAATACACTTTAAAATAATAATTTTGCATTTCTCTTAATGACATTAAACTTCACTGAACAAATTTTTCACGATTAATTCGCTTTTTGTGAAATATTTGTTTTTCATTATTATTATTTGCTTACAGACGTTGGGGGCCCCGTATTTTTATACGGCTGATATGGCGGTAGTTACGCCGCTGTTTCATTCAAACATGTATAAACAACATCGTCTAATCTAATAAGTTTGCACATTTTGTTCACAAGGAACAAATAATGAAAATTCTAGTTTTTATAATATTTATTCATAGACATTTTTGTTGACTGATCATTTTATTTTTCGGTACGGGAAGTTCCAGCAATTTGCTTTAAGGCACGATGCTATGCGCCCTACTAAGGTATGCCAAAATGTTCAGTAACATTTTAAACGTAAAGATATGCAAACATTTCCTTTTTCGATTGTTTTGCGATTACTTCAGTTACATATAACTTAACCCTGTGGGAAGTTAATAATTAGTATATCAGTATAACTTTACCTTATATGTCATTTTATATAACGATATATTCTACTTCATTAAAAAACTGTTGTAGTAGGTCAATGAATTTGAGATGAGTAAAAACTATAGAGACTGATTATAATATTATTAAATAAATAGAAATCATTGAAAACACAAAAACTTTATCATTTTGAATGGGAACTTCACATGATTATTGAATTATAAGAGAAATAAGCATTAATTATAAGAGAAAAGTGAGGACTACAAATTTTAATTTATTAAGTTCACAAATATGCTACATATTTTAGAAAGAGCATATTTGTACAGAACCCATAAAGTGAGAATCTCTTTCTTTATTTATATATTTTTAATGCATTCAGAAAATTGTCAACGATTGGATAGCGATGTACAAAGCCGATTACTACAAAGGATTGTCAGTTTTAATCAATTTTATTTTGAATGCTAGTGGATACAGTGGCATACAAGTGACTTCAGGAATGCTAAAAACATTACAGCATTCAACTATAGCAACAAAAATAGAAGCTGATTTTATATGGGTATAATAGAAATATAATATTTTAAATTTACTGAAGAATGATGCATAATTGTTTGCTTTTTATAGGATGATAAGTTTTTTCATTGCTCAGTAAAGATAAAAATCGTAAAAAATTTCATGAAGACTTCTGTTTGTTTATTTCTACATTAGTATTTCAATGCCAATACTCGATCATTTACGATGATTTTTTTATGCAAAATGTAATTTCGATGCTGACTTGTCTATCGAAGGTAAAACAACAAATTCTTCGATACACGTCTACATTGGCAGGTAAGTTAATTAGTGAGATTATCACATGTTTATTTTGAAATGCCTTCAAGGATTCTGCAAACCTTTTAATAAATCCGTATCTCTAACCGACTATTCACTCAGGTATAAAATTAATGACCGCATTGGCAGAAATTGAATCGAAATTATCTGTAAATTGTAATTATGCCATACATCAAGTTGAAGCAGAAGAAGCGAAAGATTGGGAAGGCAAATGTCTGACCGATTAGAAACACTCATTGAAAAGCGCGATGAATTACTTGAAAACCAAGAAGAATTGCAAAAGATGATCAAGAGTATATTCAAATATATTTTTACACATCGTTACAAGTGAGATATTTTGATATTTTGTTTTGTTTTGACTCATACATAAATTTTGATTATAATTATAATATAATACAATAATTTCAAAGTTATTGTTAAGAAGTTTAGGTTTTCAAAAAAAAAATTGATTTGCTTATTTTATATTTTGACGTTTAAAATCATTCTGAATGTTTGTAGACCAAGTATGGAATAAGGTGTGTGTGTGTGTTAATGTATGTATGTTTTTTTTATAGAGGTGCGAAAGAAAATCTTACAGCAGACAATGATAGACGGTAGTGTGGAGATTTTACCTACTAAAAAAACACTTCTCTCCCCTCTCCCGCAGATGGTACGGAGAGAACTGGATTGGAACCGTCTTAACATTACATTAATCCAGTCCGTGCTGCGCCTTGCGACGCCTGCTTCCGACTACTGGTTCCTTTTTCCGGTTTTATCCTTCAAAAGGTGCTGTGCATAAGCTGCTACAGCTGACCAGTTTTCTTCTTGTTTCAGCATATAGGTCACAAGGCTTACGGGGGTGAGTCTAATGCCTATAATGTTCTCGGCGTTGTTTTGATAGTTTTTCCACCGAGCACATGCAAAGAACGTGTGCTCAGCGTTGTCGATTTTATCTGGACAGTATTTGCACATTGGCGTACTATGCAAGCTCATCTAAAAAGATAGGCATTAAACTGTCGATGTCGTGTCAATAGCTGGGTCAGAAAGAAATCTGTCTTCCCCTATTGTCGAGAAAGCCAGACGCTAATGTCCGGAATCAGGCGCGCCGTGCATCTGCCAGTATCTCTTGACGTCCACCGATTTTGCCACTCTTGTAACGTTTCCTTTTTTATTCTCGACCTTGTTTGTTTGGAGTTGTCGCACAAATTTTAGCGTAGTAGTGTTTCACTCTTTTGAATGCTAGCAAATCAATCGGCGTGGTTCCTGCTATTACCAATACAGCTGCTTCTGAGACCGTGCGATAGGCACAGGTAAATCTCAGAGCTCCTCGTCTTTGCACTGACGCTATTTTGTGCCGTAAGTCTTTTGTTTGAGGATATCCGCCCATATCTCCGCTCCGTATAGCAGTACAGAATAGACTATCTCAACCAGGACTCGTCTTTTCGGGTTTGTGGTCCCATGCAGTTAGCCATAATCCTTGCAAGTTGGATACCGTCTCGGAATGTTCACGAAGGATAGCTTCTCATCTATCATTAATACACTGACGTCAAAGTCAAAGTCTCTCTTATGTCTACAGGGAATGGTTTGGAAACCATTTTTGTCGAGTCAAAACAAACATTTCCGTTTTCTGTTTGGCGAGCTTTAGGTGGTGTTTCTTAAGCTAGGTCTTTATGATATCAATGGTATTTTGAACGAGTAGTTCAGCCTCCTCAGTGCTGTACACTTGATCTGCGACGTCGTCCGCGAAGCCCTTGAGTACCACCTGCTTCGGCAAAGGGATCTTCAGGAGCTCGTCGTAGACGGCGTTTCATAGATAGCCTCCTAAGATTGAGCCTTGAGGTACACCAGCTGTAACATCGTGTGCTTGATGACCTTCCGTCGTTTCCACAATCAACTTTTCTCATCGAGGTAGTCGTCTATCAGTCCTAGATTATCTGGCTTCACGTCAAAATGTCGTTTAAAAATCCTACCAATTCGCACTGTTAAAGGCGTGTTCTTAACGTCGAATGTAAGGAGGAGACGGAAGTTTTTATATGTGTATGTGTGTGTGTGCATGTGTACATGGGCCATATGCTCCTAAATAACATATCACAAATTTTACAAGTCGACAAGTTGTTTAATTATAAAAATTCATCGAAGTTTGAAAAAAATTAGTAACGCTTTTTTTTACTTTACTCTTAACTTTTTTTGCCATTCTCAATAATGGCAAGACTGATTTCAAAAATATAAAAGGTACTTAATGAAATTCGATAGGCAACAAAGTGTTTAATGTTTTATTGAAAAATTCTGAACCGATTTTGAGAATTCAAAAAACTATTTGAAAGCTATCATTTGGAAAGCATGATTAGTTTTTGAAGTAGATCGGTCAGGTCGTTTCTTTATAAATGTTTAAGAAAATTTATTTTGCGTTTTTAATAAAACTTATTACGGGGATACAGTTTTTAGTCATTGATTGATTTTAATAAAAATCTTTGTTTTGATTTTAATAAAAGTAAGACTTTATTTTCGAAATAAATTACTGAAAATTTTATTCAAACAACTTAATCTCAATTTTATCGTTTAGGACCATTATTTACACAAATCGGGAAATTTGAAAGTTGTATAGGCAAAATGGGCAAAAATACACCTAGTTTATGAATAAATATTATTCATTTTTACAGAGACTTTGACCCAGATATTCGTGCGAAACTGTTTAGCTGAACTAGGCATCTGGCTAAATACTTTTCATTCACGATTTCTGGATGATGCTTATTTGAAATTCATTGGTTTTTCACTTTTCGACAAGGGTATAATGTCTTTATTAATATATATATATATATATATATATATATATATACGATTTAGTTGTTAATTTTGATGTTGAGATATATGAGTAAGTTCTTGTGGAGATTTATAAGCCTCGGAACTCGCAAAGTGCACAAGTGTGACAGAAATTACGTAACTTTACTCAGATTTTTGTTCAAATAAAACTATCATTTTTCTTTTTACATCATACAATAAATTATAAAAAATGCATGGTGTTGACAAGTTAGTTGTATAAATGTTAGTCCTAATTTCTAGTGTTGTGCACACTTCTCTAGTTGAACCTACCAACGTCAATATCCACTGATGATGACATTAAATTGAATGTCGAAACGTTTGGAATTAAAGATATAAATTTATAATCTATATATATATATTATATATATATATATATATGATTAGTAGTTAATTTTGATGTGTTGAAATATATGAGTGAGTTCTTGAGGGCGATACATCAAACAAAGAAAAGGAAAATATTTATAAAATAATCTTTAATTCCAAACGTTTCGACATTCAATTTAATGTCATTATCAGTGGATCTAAAAACAGTATGAAAATTAGTATATCTAGGTAATTATAATATATGTGGATTGGTATAGTAACTATAAAATAAGAGAAAAATTAACAAACAGCAACACTTAACAACAAACAAAAATAAAAGATAGGAAAGGTAATAGAGACTAGAATTAAATAAATAATTAAAAAGAAAAAGAATATAGGCAAAAATATATAAGTACACTCATATAAACCTACGCAATATACATATATACACATAACATATATACATATATACATATATACATATATTAATATATATATATATATACATACACACACACATGCAAACATATATATACATATACATATACAAATACAAAAATATATACCTATATATGTACACATATACATGTACGACTATACATATATAAATATACGCATATACATATATGCAACGTGCATGCATATTCACAACGACGTACATATACATTTATGAAACATACATATACTCATACCTATCTATGTAAATATAGCTATACACATATATGTATGTTTACATATATGTATGGTTATATATATATCCGTTTTTGTATGTATATATGGATATATATGATATTATTTATTACATGTATCTTTGTATGTATGTACATATGTATATGTGTATACATGTATTGTATATGTATGTATGTACATGTATATGTAGCGGGTTGCCAACACGCATAGCGGCTTGTCAACACGCATCACATGTCTCTGGACAGATTGGCCCATATAGTGACAGCACTGAGAAAAACAAAGGAAATTCAAGTGTCAGATCGACACGGTTTTTGTTTCTCCCTAGTCGAAACTTGCCAAAATGTATGATTTTCAAAACCTTTCTTTTTCTATTATAAATAAGAAAATACCAATCACATTTTATTAACGATAAATATGACAACACATAGTGTCGTGGATATTAATCATACATAAAAAACGAAATATAAATAATATTTTATGAAATTTATCATTGTCTATTCATTTTGGTATTTAATATGGACTAAGCCTCCATATTTGGTGACCCCGAGAGTGAACTAGTAACACACATTTCAAGAAGGTAAGAAGATCAAGTCATTTTTAGAAGTAACAAAATAAATTCAAGTCTCAAGAATTATTAAGAAAAGAATTTTTAAAAAATATAAATAATTATTATAAATGGCTCACAACTTCCATAATTCGAAGAGCATTCTAAGCATACAACTGAGACTCCGACCACGCACTTCAAGATCAACAACAACACGTGCTCAATAAATCACTTATTATCATGGTAAATAAGTCGATAATAAGCACCATGGCAGCAGACAGGGAGCAAACAATTTGGCAACCGCCACATACACTCAACCGCTAACTCACCAGCGAAGGGCCACATACAATCAACCGCTAACCCACCAGCGAGGGGCCACATACAATCAACCGCTAACTCACCAACGAAGGGCCACATACACTCAACCGCTAACTCACCAGCGAAGGGCCACATCACTCAACCGCTAACTCAACAGCGAAGTGTCAAATATACTCAGCCGCTAACTCACAGCGAAGGGCCACATCTTCAACCGCTAACTCACCAGCGAAGGGCTACGTAAGCAATCAACAAAACTCAACAAGCCAACACGGCAATTTATCAACAATCTCAACCAAAAAAAATTTACAAGGAAGTCAAGAATGGCAGTCAGAGATGCGAAACAATCTTTTTCATTAGGGCGGAGTGATGTAGCGGGTTGCCAACACGCATAGCGGCTTGTCAACACGCATCACATGTCTCTGGACAGATTGGCCCATATAGTGACAGCACTGAGAAAAACAAAAGGAAATTCAAGTGTCAGATCGTACTCGGTTTGTTTCTCCCTAGTCGAACTTGCCAAAATGATAATTTTCAAAACCTTTCTTTTTCTATTATAAATAAGAAAATACCAATCACATTTATTAACGATAAATATGACAACACATAGTGTCGTGGATATTAATCATACATAAAATAAACGAAATATAAATAATATTTTATGAAATTTTCATTTCTATCATTTTGGTATTAATATGGGACTAAGCCTCCATATATATGTATGTATATATATATATATATATATATATATATGTATTAGAGATGGGTAACTCACTCCGGAGTTATCACTCCGATACAACTCCTCCCTCGGAGTGAATCCGAGTGGAGTGTTTCACAGGATTTGTCATATCCGACTTCCTTAAACTGGTATTAAATCTGTTAACTCGTACAGGCATTTAGTGTTTTTGTCGTTTTTGCTTTGGAAGGAAGCGGTCACTTTCTTGTCTCGCAGGCAGTTTTATAATTTTTTAGGTATAAAAGTCAAAATAAATACCATTTTATTTTCCAGAAAATAGAAAAATATTACTTTAAAGACACAGAACAATGAAATTGTATTCAAGTGTGAATAGCTCAAATGTATATTGAATAGTAAGGGGTGATATTTCTAACTACGACAATCTTTGGCCGTAAATGACGGAAATCAAAAATATACATACCGAAAAATATACGAAACGAAATACATTTATTTAATCTTGATTTTCCATAGCCTGAAATAACAACACTTTAGAGTACAAAATTTATCAGTAATATCATAGTATTTAAGCAGTAAAAAATATTCAGTATTATATTATTACTTTTACACAATTATATAATTGTATAAAAGTAATATTATGCTGATCGAACTACGCGATATAATATTAATTCTCAAATGGAAATAGCAAAAGAAAAATTTTGAAAGCAGAATTATTATGTTTTGCTTCTATTACAAGTTTACTACATAATTTTTATATAAAATTATTTTCTCATCAAAAGGAAATCATTAAATTGAATTTGATTCTCAAGTTTTGCGTTTTTACTTTGGTCAAAACTGCTAAAAATACGAGTCACTGAGTCGATCATCTGGTCGACCGAAACTTTTACAATCCGTCATTTATTCGTGAATTTTTTAGAAAAATTATTTTATTGATAATTATTCATAAATTTTTATTTCAAATAATTAACGGAATTTGACAAATCCTTAGATACATAAAACAGCATACTATAATACAAATTTGTTTCGAGTATTTCGGTTTCAAAATTGTCGGAGTCGTGGAGTTGTTTAGCGAATAAACTCCACCATGAAGCGGAGTCAAATCCGAGTCGATCCGGCTTCGGATATAATAAGCCCATCTCTAATATGTAATATATATTATTATATATATATAGATATATATATATATGTATATATATGTATATATATATGTATATATGTATATGTAACGCGTATATGTATATGTATACGTGTATAGCTATAGTTACATAGATAGGTATGATATGTACATGTATATGTGTACATATATAGGTATATATTTTTGTATTGTGTATGTATATGTGTATATATATGTTTGCATATATAATAATTTGATAATGCCATCTATACATAACGGTAATAAAAAATAAGTTATTGTAATTTTTAAAAATTGTATTTTCAAGAAGTTGTAAAGATATTTTTGCTAGAGATGGACTTGCTGAGGACCCCATTGGCGCCCAAAAAATTTGATAATAGAAACAGCCATTGAATTCGAAATAAGTGTTAGAGACAATGAACTTGACTGTTTCCCTAAACCAGTGCAAATAAAGTCTATGGGGTACATTAGTAAAAAGTGAGACTACGTCTAAGATAATCAGTTTGTAGTTGTCTGGTATATAATTATCTTGTGTTTTAAGTCAGAAACGAGTCTATAAGAATTTTTTATGTAGTGTGGTGACTGTTTTGTTATTGTAGTTATATTGTTACTTATGTATTTCGAGAGTTTTTATAGAGGGGTATTCATGTCTGAAAACTATTGGTCTAAAAGGTAAATTATTTTTGTGGAATTCGGGAAGGCCATAAAGTCTGAGGAAATATGGGTGTAAATTTTTCAGGTCCGATGTTGTCTCCTTGGTTAGTTGTTTGTTTGCTGTAATTTTGTCTAAATATTTATGGCACGTACGGTTTATGTAGTCAGTTGGATCGTTATTGGCAATTTTGCAAGTATTAGTGTCAAGTAATAATTCAGATATTTTATTTATATAGTCCTGCTTGTCTATGATAACGGTGATGTTGCCTTTATCCGCTTGTGAATATAAACTCTCGAAATATATAAGTAACATTATAACTGATGGGTTGATAATGCCCTTTCTCGGGGTTGCAACGACTTCCATTATTATATCTTAGCATTGCATCCCCATTCCGAAAGGGTTACTCCAACTCCTTATCCCGACTTCTATACACACCGTAATTACCTGTGGGAACTAAACAACTAACTGCGCGAATGAAATAGAATGTACTTTTGGCTTATTTAATATTACTTTAGTATTACGGGTGAGATAACATGGCTGTACCTGCACTGCAAACGTATGTCGCGTACTATAACACGAAAAGGGGTGATATTTGTATGTAGTCACTTTTGATCTACTTTTTGGCGTGTTTTT